CCAGTCACTGAATCAGTCCACCTCATAGAGGGCCTTCCTCTCCTGCGCTGTCCCTCCACTCTCCCAAGCATGTTGTCCCTCTCCAAGGACCGGTCCCTCCTTACAACATGTCCAACGTATGTTAGACGAAGCCTCGGAATTCTTGCCTCCAAGGAGTAGCCCAGTTTAACCCTCTCCAGGATGAATCGGTTTGTTTTCCTAGCAATCCATGGTACCCTCAACACTCTCCTGCAGCACCACAGCTCAAAGGCATCAATTCTCCTTCTATCCTCCCTAGTCATTGTCCAACTCTCTGACACATAGCAAGTGATTGCAAAAACTATGGCCTGTATCAGAGGCACCTTAGTCTCCAGAGCGACACCATTCCTCTTCAGTACTTTGGAGAGGTCCCTAACAGCAGACTTTCCCATGGCAATGCGTCTTTTAATTTCCTGGCTGCTGGTGCCAAAAGTGTTGACTGTGAAGCCAAGCAAACTAAAGCTGTGTACAATCTCAATCTCTTCACCATCCATCCTGATGTTGTCAGTTGATCCAGTGGTGAGAATCCTTGTCTTCTTGACACTGAGCCTCAATCCTTATTGTAGGCTGCAGTCCTTGACCGTCTGCAGCAGGTGCTTCAGGTCCTCTTCAGTTTCAGCAAGCAGGGTTGTGTCATCTGCATAACACAGATTGTTGATAGATCGTCCACTAATCCGGACACCACATTTTTTCCTCAAAGAGCCCAGCCTCCTGGATAATCTGTTCTGCATACAGGTTGAAAAGGTACGGAGACAGAACACATACCTGGCGTATGCCTATCCCAATTTTGAACCATACAATGTTTCCTTGCTCTGTTCTGACGACTGCCTCTTGGTCCAAGTGTAGGTTTCGCACTAGCATGGTCAAGTGTTCTGGGATTCCCATTCTTCTCAGAGTCAGCCACAGCTTGTTATGATCCACACAGTCAAAAGCCTCTGCATAATCAATGAAACCCAGATAGACATTCCTCTGGTATTCCCTGCTTTCTCCTAAGATCCATCTAACATCAGCTACAATATCCCTAGTGCCCGACCCCTTTTAAACCCTGCCTGGACTTCCAGCAGTTCTCTGCTGATGTGCTGTTCTAGTCGTTTTTGGATGAAATGGTATAGTAGGAACAAAATTCATTTGGAGCCTTAAAATCATTGTTGCAAATGAAGAATTCTTGAATCACTACACAACATGGATGAGTCTGGAGAATATTATACTGAATGAATAAGTCAGTCACAAAAGGACAAATACTGTATGTTGTTGTTATATGTCATTGAGTCACCTGCTACTCATAGTGACACTATGTAGAAAATCTCTGAAACCTGCCCTGTCCTGAGCCAGTCTTACCAACTCTGACACACCACCCCCATTGCCTCCGTTACTGTATCAATCCATCTCATCTGGGGTCTTCCTCTCCTGCACTGTCCCTCCACCCTTCCAAGCATGATGACCTTCTCCAAGGACTGGTCTCTCCTGGCCGCTTGCCCAAAATCTGTGAGATGGAGCTTCAAAACCCTAGACTTCAAGGAGAAACTTGGTTTCACCCTCTCCAGGATAAACTTAATTGTTTTCTTGGTGGTTCATGGTATGTTCAAGACTCTTCTCTAGCACAACTCAAAAGTATTGATTCTTCTTCTCTCATCCTTAGTCCTTGTCCAGCTCTCTGATGCATAGACCACGCATAGACCACGGTCTGGATCAGGTACACCTTAGTCTCTAGACTGACATCACAACATTGCTTCTCAGTACTCTGAAGAGGTCCCTGCCAGCAGATTTTCCCAGTGCAAAAATAATACCTTATGATACCACTGTTTTAAAATGTTTACATACAGAGAGAAGCTAATATGGCACCAGAATGGGAAAGTGGACAGCGTTGAAAATGAATTAGAAGGCAAACAATAAAATGTGAGAAGGGCAGGACAGTATGGAATGAATGAATGAATGAATGGTCAGACAATATATGTATTGTAATTAATGTTGTGGAACAAAATACACATGAATTATTGATTGGGAGGCAAAGCCCAATATGATTTGTAAACTTTTCCTCAAATCATAATGTAAAAGAAAAAATAAGCATTGCACAGAAGTGAGCTATTGCAACTCTAAGGCCGTTAGATCTTTGTATACTGTTCATCTCTCGAGACATGTTCTGGAATGTGTCAAGAGTTCATGGTGGATTTGAGAAAACCTTTACCTCATATACCACCATTTAAAAGAGAGCAAAAGCAGTAATTCAACCCTCTTCTATTTACCTGCCCTTAGCTGTTGTTAATCTTTGCCAGATGTAGAATGGCTGGGAGCCCAGAGGGTGAGGTCTTTCTGATAGATGTAGCTTTCTTGTCTCCCTTCTAGATAAAGAATTCATGAAGGAAAAGGAGAAGCTGGAGATGGAGTTGGCGGTAGTGCGGACTGCGAGCGAGGACCAGCGGAGGCACATCGAGATCCTGGATCAGGCTCTGGGCAATGCTCAGGCAAAGGTCATCAAGCTGGAAGAAGAGGTGAGGTACACAGAGCCCCGAGAGCCCCTGTTCACATGTCCCTAACCCAGCCACCCGAACCAGAGCCAACTCTGAGGAGCTGTGAGATGGGGAGGGAGGTGGGAAACTTCCCAGAGAAAAAGTCATAAAAACAGAGTGCAGCCCATAGCCAAGCAAAGTCTGAAAGGCACATGTAAACAACAGCACAGATCTGCCTCTCAGCCGAGAAGGCAGCCCACAGCCCATTAGCTGGTGAGTGTCCTGGACTAGAAAGAACAGAAAGGTTGGAAACCACTGGTGCCTGAAGGGAAAAAGCAGCTAAAACTTTTTCAGAATGGTTCCACTGCTGTGTCTCCGGGCTTTTGATTACATAGAACAAGACAGAAGTCTCCTGAGGAAGGTGCCATGGAATTAGCATGTAGCAGTCCTGGGTCTGCTTTCCAGAAGCTGACTGAATGCAGAGCACCTGCCTGCCTCAGGCCAAGACGTTCTGCTCCCACTCAAGCACTATGGGTGTAGTGGCTTCTGATGAGATCAACCCTTTGATTTGTTTTAGATAGGCTTTTCCTTTAAGCCTGACTGTGGAATTGATTGACCCTGTGTGGAATTCTGTGTAGGATACAGAGGATTGGGGCTGTAGGCACAGGGGCAGAAAAGGAGGTGAGATCTAGCAGAGAAGACAGCTCCCAGCTTCCTACAGCAACAGGCACCTCTGTGTTATTGCACAGAACTGGCCTGAGCAGAGTCCAGTGTGGAAAGCAAAAGCTTAAAATCTCAGAGAGACTTAAAGGAGATAATCCATGTAAGGTGCTGAGCTTGGTGCTGGGCACACAGAAAATACTATTGTTAATAATCTCATTGGGCTGAAAAATAGTCTCTCCTTTCAGATAGTAGTGTCATCTGATCCTGGGTAACTGGATTGTCTCAGCCTCAGCAAACTTCAAGAATAAACTAAAGAGGAAGATTTGAAGCAGAGGAGGAAAACTTTGTCCATTAGAAAGCTGTGAAACTCCTTGCATCCTGTGTAGACATGATTCTTTTAGTACTAAGAGGAGGGTCTGGAAAAGTTCTTTCTTTTATAACTAAGCAACTCATTTGATGCAAAAAGTGACTTTCAACCATTGAGGATAGGTGAGCCTGGTGGTCTAGTGGTAAGGAATTGTGCTGCCAGCCTGAAGGAGGTTTGACTCCATCAGCTGCACTTTGGGCGAAAGATGGGCATTCTCCTTCCATATGACTTTCAGCCTCAAAAACCCACGGAGGGTTGGCTGTGTTTTAGTTCTGACTTGATGGGACGTAACAACAGCCCCTTAGTGACGGGAGGCCTACACTCCTTATCATCATCACTAATCTGTTTTGGTTTTGGGGGGGATTGAGGCTCAGTGACTTGCATAGGAAAATTATAATTGGAAAAGTTCTGAGCTCCTTGATGGCAGGTTCTTTGTAATTAACCTCAAGGGTTTATATGTGATAATTTCTTAGCATTATACTTACATAAAGTCTTTGTGGAATGCATGCTCTCCAACATGTCTCTCTCATGCCTAGTTGCCAGTTCAGTGCCTTACTTTTACTAAAGTTTCTAAGGGTCTGACATTGACTTCTGTTGAGTGCTTTTAACTCAACGTGGTGGCTAAGAGCTTGTGCTCGAAGGCCAGCCTTCTGTAGACTAGAATCCTGGCTTCGTGACCGTCAGCTGGGTGTCACAACTGAAACGTTTCTTTCATTCCTCAACTTTCTGGTCTCTAAAAAATGGAGATAAGACTTTATCTAGTATGAGGAGCTTTGATGGCCCAGTACGTTATGTGCTAAGCTGCTAACTTGGAAAGTTAGTGGTTCAAATCTCTGATGAATTGATGCCTTTGAGCTGTGGTGTTGAAGAAGGGCCCTGAACATCCCATGGACGGATAAGACAAATATGTCTTGGGAGACAGAGTGCTCCTTGGAGGCAAAGATGATAAGCTTCACCTCACATACTTTGAGCATTTTGCTAGGAGGGGCTATTCCTTGGAGAGGGACATGATGTTGGGAAAGGTGGAGAGTTGGCGAAGAAGAGGAAGTCCTTCGACCAGGTGGATTGACATGGTGACAGCCCCAGTGGGCTGTTATGTGTCAGGAAGTATGAGACGGCACAGGACAGGACAGGATTCAGATCTGTTGTTCATAGGGTTGCTGTGGATCATACAAGACTTGACAGCACAGAACAACAACTCTATGGAAGAAAAGAGCATAGTCTCGTCCTATCAGGATTTACATCCTCAGAAACCCAGTGGAGGGTTGGAAGTTGACTCAAGTGATGATAAATCTGGTTGTTTGTGGGGGTTTTGGTTCTGTTTTCATTTTACCATTCTCTGTTATTGGTAAAATTCAATGAGATAGAACTCCCACAGCACATATTTGGCCTGGCAGTGCTCTGCAAATGTTGACTAATTATTGTTGCTAATCATCCTCACCTTGATGAAGTTAAAATCTTCTTACCACTATAGATTAAAGCTCCACACAAAGCTGAATGAGACAAATCCTTGTAGTCAAGGATCTGGTAGTTGATTAGTTGTTTTGGTGGTAGTTTGGTGGTCTACTGTTGAGCTGGAACGGACCAATGGCTGACCCCCTGACAGGTTTTCAGAAGCACTTAATCACACGGGAGGAGATTGCCCATTCTTCTCTCTCAGAATAGCTGGTGAATTTGAACCATCTAGGAATCAGATCTATTACATCTGTGGAGAGAACCGCTGGAGAAGCTCAATATCAGCTGTGAAAACTAGTCCAGGAGCTGAGTATGGCACAGACCACCAATTACTCATATGCTAATTCAAGCTGAAGCTGAGGAAAATTAAACCAAATCCAAGGCAACCAAAATATGACTTTGAGTCTATCCCTCCTGAATTTCAGA